GGCGGACGGGCCCTACTGGTTGACAAGATTTGGGAATGCCCAACCAGGAGGGCCCATGTAGCTTCCGACGGGAGCAGCTCACAGCGTCGGGCTGATGGGCCCTACCGGCTGACGGTGGAGTGGCGCGTTTTTTGGAAGCCCGGACTGGAGATTTCTTGCTGTCCGCTGGGAAATCGATACCTGTTGGATGGGAAAGAGAAAACATAGATGCATGCAAAGTCCGCTGGGAGACCAATGCTCGCTGGACAGAAAAAGAGAAAACATAGATGCATGCAAAGTCCGCTGGGAGACCAATGCTCGCTGGACAGAAAAAGAGGAAACATAGATGCTTGCAATGTCCGCTGGGAGACCAATGCTTGCTGGACAGAATTATGCAATGTCCGCTGGGAGACCAATGCTCGCTGGACAGAATTATGCAATGTCCGCTGGGAGACCAATGCTCGCTGGACAGAAAAGAGGAAACATAGATGCTTGCAATGTCCGCTGGGAGACCAATGCTCGCTGGACAGAAAAAGGAGAAAACATAGATGCTTTGCAATGTCCGCTGGGAGACCAATGCTCGCTGGACAGAGGAAGAGGAAACATAGATGCATGCGACGTCCGCTGGGAGACCAATGCTCGCTGGACAGAGAAAGAGGAAACATAGATGCATGCAACGTCCGCTGGGAGACCAATGCTCGCTGGACAGAGAAAGAGGAAACATAGATGCATGCAACGTCCGCTGGGAGACCAATGCTCGCTGGACAGAGAAAGAGGAAACATAGATGCATGCAACGTCCGCTGGGAGACCAATGCTCGCTGGACAGAGAAAGAGGCATCACGTAGGGGTTTTAACAGGAATATTAATTCTGAATAGTGAGGTACTGGAGAGGAGACATCACTGCTGCGGCAGTGGAAAAATAGCCAGAGAAACAGAGCTCCTGCGGGAGCAGAGGAGACATCACTGCTGCGGCAGTGGAGAAAATAGCCAGAGAAACAGAGCTCCTGCGGGAGCAGAGGAGACGTCACTACTGTGGCAGTGGAGAAACTTACCTGGAGAAAAAAAGAGCTCCTGCGGGAGCAGAGGAGACATCACTGCTGCGGCAGTGGAGAAAATAGCCAGGGAAACAGAGCTCCTGCGGGAGCAGAGACATCACTGCTGCGGCAGTGGAGAAAATAGCCAGGGAAACAGAGCTCCTGCGGGAGCAGAGGAGACATCACTGCTGCGGCAGTGGAGAAAATAGCCAGGGAAACAGAGCTCCTGCGGGAGCAGAGGAGACATCACTGCTGCGGCAGTGGAGAAAATAGCCAGGGAAACAGAGCTCCTGCGGGAGCAGAGGAGACGTCACTACTGTGGCAGTGGAGAAACTTACCTGGAGAAAAAAGAGCTCCTGCGGGAGCAGAGGAGACATCACTGCAGCGGCAGTGGAGAAAATAGCCAGAGAAACAGATCAGATTATTTTATTTAATGCCATGTCGGCATCCAGAGTTTTTTTCATGGCAAAAATTCAATCACAAAAATACAAATATCATATAAATACAATAAAAACAAAGCAAATATAAACAACAAGTCATATTATATAATATATATATTTAAATTAACATGATAAAAAATCTAAAACCTTTTCAGGCATAATCTCATTAAATATGTCCTTCAATGAAGAAACTTCATAAAAGAGCATTCTGCTTGCATGAAGGGCAGAACAATCTAATAAAACATGTTTGACAGATAAGGGAATTTTACAAAACATACACAAAGTTGGGTCTTCAACTTTAAGCAAAAAGCATGGGTCAAACTTGTGTCCAGAGAAACAGAGCTCCTGCAGGAGCAGAAAACTTACCTGGAGAAATGAGCTCCTGCGGGAGCGGAGAAGACATCACTGCTGCGGCAGTGGAGAAATTTACCTGGACAAATTGAGTTCCTCTGGTGTGAGGCTGAGCAAAGGGAGGAGTAGGTTGGGGCCTGGTGGGCCGATGCTCGTCTTCTTGCGCGTTAATCAAAAACGCGAAGAGGTGGTGAGAGATTAAATCCTTGCAGGATTATGCGCATCTGAAGTTTAAGTGGCCGAGCAAAGATAGCAGTTCGCGTTTTAGAACAGTGGGAAGGTGGGCGAGATCAAAATATCCTATCGATTTTTTCTTGTGCAGTGAGGCCTGGAAAACAACTGTATCCAAGTTAATGCCCAGAATTCAAATGGACGAGGCTGAACCCATGGTTTCAACCTGTGCAATTGGAATCCCGAGCTCAGCAGAAACTGTGCGGGGCTGAGAGATCGATTATTAAACGTACGAAAATGTTCTTATTTTCTCCGTTTATTTCGTTTATTTTGATCATTTCTATGGGTCATATTACCTGCCGATTTGTTCGTTCTGAATCAGAAAAACCAATAGTGAAACTGTGGCTTTAAACTAGCCTACCTACTTCAAAAAAAAAAAAAAAAAAAAAAAAATGCATTTATGCTATAACTTTAAGTTTCTAAGCGATTTTTGTAAATAAATTGCAGGACAGTGTTAACGAAAGGTTCTTAATGATTCTGTGTGCAATCTGCACGTAATGTGCAACCTATTGTTTACGTGTGAGTTTACCAAAAGGAAGCATCGCGTTAATGAAACGGCAAATCATTTGTACGGAAACTATTTAAAACGCACGTTCCCCCGATCAAAATTAGTATCCAGATAGCATAACTTGCTCGTGATTCAACAACTGAAGTGATACGAAGTTCAATTAGGTACAGAAAACGAAAAGGTTTTGAGCCAAGCACTCACAGAGTTGACCCGGCAGATGTTGAGTGTGGACTGACCGGGACTGAATCTGCAGCGCGGCTTACTTAGGGCCTGCTGGGGCGGCCTGACGCTGGAGGAAGACCCGTTCCTTCGAATTAAGAGGGCGGCATTGCCTTATGACCATTTCTCTATGGCAGGAATTATTGAATGGGACAGTTTAAAGAAATACGCGGAAGTAGATTGCTGATGTTTCGCCCGCGGTGGCGAGGACCCATTTGTTTGGCCTGACGCCCACGAGATAATACCAGAGGATTGTGGCAAAGATTCCTAATCCTGAAGGACGAAAGATTCTTCATCAAACGGGAAGCGCTCGATTCGGGCATGTTAGGAAGGTACTGCGGGGCCAAATGCTGTTAAACTGTCAATGAACGGAGGTAAGTTTGCTGTATATATACACAGCGCTTAACTCGTTGATTAAGCACCACTCGTGTCTAATTAGGTTTGATTATCTGAATGTGCTCCACGTGTGTTCAATTAGGTTTAATTATCTGAACGTGCTCCTCCCGAACTTTGTTAATAAAACATCATTTAAATTCAAACACTGATGTAGAGAAATTAACACGAACAATTTTAATTGGCTAAATTATAATATAATATAATATAATATAATATAATATAATATAATATAATATAATATAATATAATTTAATTTAATTTAATTTAATATAATATAATATAATATAACAGTATCTAAATTGTTATTTCTACGGTGGCCGAGACAGCTCAACGCGCTGCAACTGAAGCAAACACATGCAAATAGAGAAAAACGCGTGCAAATAGAGAAAAACGCGTGCAAATAGAAAAAAACGCGTGCAAATAGAAAAAAACACATGCAAATAGAAAAACACGCGTGCAAATAGAAAAAATACCAGCAAATTAAAAAAAACATCTTCATCAGTTTCACAACACACGTGTGCTCCAAATAAGGAAACGCGCTGCAAAAGTTCACAACACAACCAAATACAGAAAACAGCTGCAAATAACACAGACCACAACGGAAATGTTTCCAGGGGAACCAAATAAGTGACGAACCCGGCTGAGACGTGCTTATTGCTCGTGAGCTTCCCTATGCCATACTCCCTTCGAAGGGCAGATATTAGAGCCCTTTTGGAGTGAGCAAGGCTCTAGTGTGCTGTTAGGCAGCCGTGTGGAACGCACTTGATGAAGGGAGCAACTAAAGACAACGTGGGATGTTCCCATGACAACGCAGCACGGCGTCCATCAGCTGGTCTTACGACAGAAATATGATGCTGTTAACATAACGGATGCAAATACATTTTTATGTTTAGTTTACAAAAAAAGCTTTTAAAATATGCGTTATATATCTGTGTCTGAACTTTAAAATTTTGGACCCTATATTACCTAACATTTCTTACGGAACTTTTCTTTATGAAAATGTAATAACATGAAACAATTTGTACAGTGTAACTGATGTAACTTATAGATAAATATCTTTCCTTCATGTTTTTCTTCTTTATATTTTTTATTTATTTATTTTAGTTTCCAGCTCATTGTTCTTTTCTCATTTGTATTCGGATGACATTGAACATATTGTTAATACATTTTGTACATTGTATACAAGTTGTATGTCATAAAAAATGTAATCTCTGTATGTTTTGCACAAACAAATAAATAAATAAATAAACAAATAAAGTATAATTTTAAGCTGTAAGCACCAGCACGCATGGATTTATGGATATCTATGCCAGCACGTCCCAGCCGGGTTCGTCACTTATTTGGTTCCCCTGGAAACATTTCCGTTGTGCTCTGTGTTATTTGCAGCGCGTTTATGTATTTGGTGGTGTTGTGAGTATTTGGAGCACACGTGTGTTGTGAAACTGATGAAGATGTTTTCTTAATTTGCAGGTGTTTTTTTTATTTGCACGCGTTTTTTTCTATTTGCATGCGTTTTTTCTATTTGCATGCGTTTTATTTTATTTGCATGTGTTTTTTTCTATTTGCACGCGTTGTTTTCTATTTGCATGTGTTTTCTTCTATTTGCATGCGTTTTCTTCAGTTGCAGCGCGTTGAGCTCTCTCGGCCACCGTATATTTCAATTTTGACATCTTAAAAATGAGCTCCACTACATAGTTGGTTTTCAGATTAATTCTATATTAATAATTAATAATATATAATAAGGTAACATAAATAATATAATTATAATATTGGTAATGTAAAAAAGCCTGAGCAAATAAAATGGCTTTATATTGTGACGTCACACACACACACGTGTGTACCTGCGTGCAGATGTCCAGGGGTTTCCCGCTCAGGCTCTGTGGCATCTCCCTGCAGCGGGTGGAGAGGTTGAGGATGGCAGTGGCAGCCATGTGCGCCGCCTCCATGTCGTGTGTGTAGTCGAAGCTGCTCTTGCTGCAGGTGCTGCTGGCGCTGCTCTCTCCTCCTCCTCCTCCTCCTCCTCCTCCTCCTCCTCCTCCTCCACAGCTCAGGCTACTGCTGCTGCTGGGCCCGAAGCTGCTCGAGGTACTGCTCGCCGAACTCCAGCTCTTGCAGTAGCGCTTCGCTGACGGGACACACAGAGCCGGGACGTTAACACACAGATGGGAACACACAGATGGGACAGATCACAAAACACTCTTAGCTTCTGCATCTACATCCTACACTGGCTTTATTGTGCTAGCACTGAGATACTATTATAGTTTTCATTAATAGTTTCAATTTACTTTTATATTTTACATTTTTATTTTCATCTTAGTTCAAGTTTTAGTCATTTCGTTCAGTTTGTGATTTTTACTTCAGTTATTTTAGATAAACTAGGCCTATATGAAAATCAGAAATGTTACCGTGGCAATATTTTATTTTATTTCAGTTAATGTTTTTTTTTTTTTTTCAAGTAATTACTTTTATGGTTTTAGTTTAAGTTAACTATAATAACCTTGGGAGATATTTGGCAGTGACAGCTGATATGTATATGCATTTTATGTAAGTATACTGTTATAAAGATCTCACTGATTTACATCACAAGCATCAGAATTTCCGAATCCTTCTTTTCCCCAATATAAATATCAGCAACTGCACTAAATTGCATATTGTTGCTCAGTTTGTTTCTCTAAATGAAATGTGTTGTTTTCCTCTTTGAGTTTAAACTCCATGTTCTCGCTATATCAGACTATATGAGCCACTAAAGACTGATGCATCTAATATGAAACTCAACAAAAACACATATGCAAACTTTTTTTAAAGATTTATTTTTTATATTGTGCTTAAAATTTCAATAAACTGTTCCACTCGCTATTATTTTTAAATGTCAGACTTAACAAGGTTAAAATAATGTGTTACAGTCTTGTTCTGCATGTAATTACTATGCACTTACTAGAGTAATTACAATATCTGTCTAACAACTCAAAATTGATCCCTTAACCTAATAATAATAATAATAAACCATGTTAAGTTGATGTTCTTACTTACCTTATATGGTTGCACTTTATTTTAAGGTGTCCTACAGTGTAATTATCAAATAATGAATAAGTAATATTAACTAACAACATGAACTTAGTAATTAGGTTTAGGATTTAGGGTTGTAATTATGCATAATTTACTTTTATTACTATAGTAAGTACATGTAAGATGTGTAACGGATACTGTCAAATAAAGTGTTATCGCTTCTATTACTCAGTTCTTTCTAGTGTAAGTACACTGTACGTTCATGTACTGTAAAATAAAGTGCACAGAACCTCACGTTTTAGTGTCTGTAGTCAAATCCCTTTAGGAAGAAATGGCTTGTTTATTATGATGGTTTTGATGATTATGAGGAGATTTTAAATGATGAGGGGGGTGTTGGGATGTAAGTGAGAGACGGAGAGACACTCTCTATAGTTTGACAAAAGACACAATGAGCCACAACACCAGCTGGGCATCAAAGTGGCATCTCCCACCGGGCGTCCTGCTGCCATCCCTCTCTCTCTCTCTCTTTTTTTTGAGTTCCTTTTCCTCTATCTTCTCCCTCCAGTCTGGTCATTAAAGCATGGCCGGGGATCTCACAGTCTTGCGCATAGAATTGCAATTAGCAGCAGCCCTAAATCCAGACTGTGATTTGCCTAAACCACCTCATTCATTATGCATCTGCCTCGAGATCATTTCCATACATTTCCATACCACCGAAATACAGTGAAGGAAGATCTCGGAGGCTTTTCTAATGGGGTTTAGTTCCTCACCAAACGTTCATGAAATCCAACTAGCTTTCTCAGACCTTAGAAGTCAAGTGTTCAAGAGTCATAGAGATGATAATGATCATAAAGCAGCCCCCAAAAAAGTACACGCTCAAAATGTCCATATTCACTGGATACGAAAATATCAAACCAAGTGACATACAGTATATGTAAATGGAATAGATCTAGCATTGAAAAAGAAGACATCGTTATAGACACAGTTGTTGTTTATGTTCCTCTGCAGAATTTGGGAATTTGAAGAGAACTGAGCTCATTCTTTCACAAAAACCCACTAGAGTCCAGAGGACGTCAAAACCCGGAAAACTGGTTCCCTCGAGATTTCCCTATGGGGTTTTATAATGTTTTTTTTTTCAATTTATGAGTAACAAAAGGTCTGTGGTGACTTGATGATACTTGAACGTATTGCTCTACAAAACACACCCATATTGTAAACACAGATTTTCAACCTGTTATGTTTATTTTATAAAACGTCTGTTTCTAATAAGTAAATAGATAAACAAGGGATAAACAAAGGCCTTCTGAGGGTAATCCGTGCGGTTTTGTCGTAAAAATATACATATTTAAAACTTTATAAATGAAAATATCTGACTTCCGGCAACGAAGGATGTATGCACATTTTGGGACTTGAAGGAGGTGGACCCCATTGCTTCACATTATATCCACTGAAGGGTCTAAGACATTTTCTAAAATAACTGAAAATGTGTTCGTCTGAAACAAGATTGACATATGCATCTCGAACGGCTTGAGGGTGAGTAATGCATGGGTTAAATATCATTTTTGGCCGAACTATCCCTTTAATAGTTTTAGCTGTGTCTCATTACCTTGTTAACTCTGCCTTTATAAGGCCTGTGTTTTCAGTCATTCTTTGCAAAGTCTTGTATGTTATTACACTGCCTTTTTTTTTAGCGTTATCCTGGTGTCTTGGTTTTTTGTTTTGTTTTCTGGATTACTTTTTTCTTGTGTTTTCTGCCCTCTTGCTCATTTGGATTGTTTTCCTGTGTGTTTGACCTTCTGCCTTCAACCCAAGTCCTCGAGCAGGTCATAACATTACCAAAGACCTCTCATTCAGAAATTGAAAAACCCCATTATAAAACCCCATAGGAAATGTTTGAAGGAACCAGAGGTGAATTAGTCTTCTTGGTTTTGACCTTATCCCTGCAGCACTCTATTAACTAAAACTATATATAAAAAATAATAATAATAATAATAAAAAATGTGTAACTTGAAATAAAATATTTAAAAAAACAACTTATTTTTTGTTCAGCTAGTACACTAGAAACCTAAATCCGAAATAAAAAATTGAATAAAAACTAAATAGACATAAAATAAATTTGTCACTGTACAGCTTGGGTTCTTTTGGTTAAAAATAATTACAAAAAAAATGGCTCAGAAAGTTCAATCTGAGAAAAGCACTAGCATTTGGGTGTAGATGAAAATAACATTTATAATGTTACAAAAGATTATATTTAAAATAAAATGCTGTCCTTTTGAAAGCATTTCCATAACAATATAAGCAGTTTTCAACATTGATAATAATCAGAAATATTTGTTGAGCAGCAAATCAGCATATTAGAATGATTTCTGAACGATCATGTGACAGTAATGATGATGAAAATACAGTTTACTATATATATAAAAAAAAAAGTTATTTTATTACTGATTTTACTGTATTTTTGATCAAATAAATGCAGCCTTGGTGAAACATCCAAAAATCCAAAAAAAATCCCAAAATCTCACAACCCCAGACTTTTGACCAGCTGCGTATACTGATGTCATAGAGCAGACCTCTCACCCTCATCACTTTTGGGCAGTGTGTCCCGACCGTGGAGCTTGGGTGCAGCAGAGTGCCGTTTGCTGTAGATGTTGCTGCTGTCGTAGTTGTAGTCAAAGCTGGTTTTGGAGTACTTCTCTAACTCTTTGGCCAGGTTGGAGCGCGGGGTTGAAGTGGGAACGTTGTTTTTGAAGCCGTACTGTGGAATCTCCAACTGTTTCACGAAGCACATGGGTCTGAAACAGACACAGTTTATGCTGTATCATGTGTCTGCCTGCCAATGATCAGTGCTATCCATTTTATAAGCGTTGCACAGAAAAATTCAACACAAATTGGTGCCTATTTGTAAGATATTCAGGTTCTAGCAAATAAGCAAATTCAGGAAATTCATCATATCATTTACAGTGATGTTTTTAATTTGAATAATTATGTTTATCTCAGCTTATGGGAAAGCTATTTGTGATAAACTTTTTTTTCTTTAAAAATCAGGCTTGTTGTTGTTTTGTTTTTACAGTGTACACCCAAGTGAATTTTTTTTTTACTCAAATATATTAGAAATACATTTATTTTTATGCTAAGTATACTACGAATACTTTCGGTATACTACATTTATATACTTAAAGTCTGCTAAATTCAAACAACTAATTTTGTACTTAAAGCTGCAGTCCGGCATTTTTCCTCTTTGTCGCCATCTCTGTTCGAAATCTGCAATTGCAGTCATTCGCGGAATTATCAACTTTACGTGAGTTGTAGTTCAACACCCTCGACACGGCACAGCGCGGATGAACACAATGTTTGAGGAGAGTGTGCAGCTGTCAGTCACCGCGCCGATGTCATTCAGAATCACAGATTATTCTTTTTGGAAGTATGACCAACATAAGAATTTTCACCGGGAAATGTCATCTGAACTAGTAAGAAACATTCACTTTTGTTCTGGTTCTGACATTGCAGTAAATCGCGCTGATTAAATCTAACAATTGCTTATAAGTTATCATTTCACGCAAAACCGTGCAAAGTAGCTATACTATGTTCTCTAATTGTTAATGTTAACAACGTCAGCAAGCATTGCGTGACTACATCATGTAATGTCCTTCCGATATTATCCTTGTTTTCGCATGGGTCCGGTTGCAGTCTCTTTTTTTCTGTAGCCACTCCGAAGTCCGAACGAAGTCTTTTGCATTTTACAGCGGGTGAATCTCTAGTTGTCACTGATGATGATCGTCGTTTGAACCTTTCTGGATCCGCCATCAAATTGATAAGTTTAATTATATCAAGTGCTGTGAGAAAAGGCTATAAATCTCTACCTCCAACATCCTCACACGCAATATAGCTTATACTAGCCGAGACTCCTTCTTTATGTGTACAGATGTGACGTAATGACGCAAAGACATGCTCGAATCTCCCGCGGAAATCCACCAGTACCACTAAAATTAAAAACATTATTACAAGCTTACCGTTTTGCATCGAGCTAAGGCAAGCAGATAATTTTGAACACTGGCTGGTTATGTATTTTATCAAATATGTATTTTGGATAATTTTTAACCCAAAAAAAGCTACGGACAGCAGCTTTAATGTACTTTAGTTATCCAGAAGTAGTGCTGCAATTCAACTAAAGATATACTTAAGTATATTTGATTGTGGAAGTGCCACAATTGCTAGTATACATTAGGTACACTTTAAATATTTTGCATTTAAAGACAGATATCATACTATCCTTACTAATTGTGATATTAAAACATATTTTAGGCTTAATATTAAGAAACACGCATTGTGCAATAAAGTACTCCAAATAAAGTTGAATTATAATATTTCTATCAGTAAGTCTCAAGCGATATGTCAGTAAATATGTTAATGATAATTGTAGTATACTTAGTACGAAATAAATGCATTTTAAAATAGCTTTTTTCCCCACTAGGGTAGAGCATCAAGGAGAATGTCTGTTACCTGAGCACACGATCTGAAGCCTGGTTGGATTTTCCTCCATCACATGGCTGATGTTTCTCGTGGGCTTTGGCCAGTTTCTCTGCAGCCGCAATGGGGCAACCCGACAGGCTGGTGAACAGAGAGTAATGTGAGGGGCATGGCTTTACAAAGACACGTCAATATGTGACAAATCATCATTTCAAACAGCACAATTATGGGGCTTAGACACATCACTGATATAACATGATCTCGTTTATGCTGTATTGAAATTAAGTCAGAATCAGAATTTTGATGATTAAAATCAGAAGTAAGATTCGATAATCCAAAAGATTATAAAGAAAGAATTGAAATCTTCTGCTTCTCAGATCTGTCAATGAGGTTCATTCTCGTGTTACACAGCACGTTTGAGCTTCAGCAAGAACCAATGAGGTTCATTCTCGTGTTACACAGCACGTTTGAGCTTCTACAAGAACCAATGAGGTTCATTCTCGTGTTACGCATCACGTTTGAGCTTCTGCAAGAACCAATGAGGTTCATTCTCGTGTTACGCAGCACGTTTGAGCTTCTGCAAGAACCAATGAGGTTCATTCTCGTGTTACACAGCACGTTTGAGCTTCTGCAAGAACCAATGAGGTTCATTCTCGTGTTACGCAGCACGTTTGAGCTTCAGCAAGAACCAATGAGGTTCATTCTTGTGTTACGCAGCACGTTTGAGCTTCTGCAAGAACCAATGAGGTTCATTCTTGTGTTACGCAGCACGTTTGAGCTTCTGCAAGAACCAATGAGGTTCATTCTCGTGTTACGCAGCACGTTTGAGCTTCAGCAAGAACCAATGAGGTTCATTCTTGTGTTACGCAGCACGTTTGAGCTTCTGCAAGAACCAATGAGGTTCATTCTTGTGTTACGCAGCACGTTTGAGCTTCAGCAAGAACCAATGAGGTTCATTCTCGTGTTACGCAGCACGTTTGAGCTTCAGCAAGAACCAATGAGGTTCATTCTCGTGTTACGCATCACGTTTGAGCTTCAGCAAGAACCAATGAGGTTCATTCTCGTGTTACGCATCACGTTTGAGCTTCAGCAAGAACCAATGAGGTTCATTCTCGTGTTACGCAGCACGTTTGAGCTTCAGCTAGAACCAATAAGGTTCATTCTCGTGTTACGCAGCACGTTTGAGCTTCAGCAAGAACCAATGAGGTTCATTCTCGTGTTACGCAGCACGTTTGAGCTTCTGCAAGAACCAATGAGGTTCATTCTCGTGTTACACAGCACGTTTGAGCTTCTACAAGAACCAATGAGGTTCATTCTTGTGTTACGCAGCACGTTTGAGCTTCTGCAAGAACCAATGAGGTTCATTCTCGTGTTACGCAGCACGTTTGAGCTTCTGCAAGAACCAATGAGGTTCATTCTCGTGTTACGCATCATGTTTGAGCTTCTGCAAGAACCAATGAGGTTCATTCTCGTGATATGCAGCACGTTTGAGCTTCTGCAAGAACCAATGAGGTTCATTCTTGTGTTACGCAGCACGTTTGAGCTTCTGCAAGAACCAATGAGGTTCATTCTCGTGTTACGCAGCACGTTTGAGCTTCTGCAAGAACCAATGAGGTTCATTCTCGTGTTACGCATCATGTTTGAGCTTCTGCAAGAACCAATGAGGTTCATTCTCGTGTTACACAGCACGTTTGAGCTTCTGCAAGAACCAATGAAGTTCATTCTCGTGTTACACAGCACGTTTGAGCTTCTACAAGAACCAATGAGGTTCATTCTCGTGTTACGCAGCACGTTTGAGCTTCTACAAGAACCAATGAGGTTCATTCTCGTGTTACGCAGCACGTTTGAGCTTCAGCAAGAACCAATGAGGTTCATTCTCGTGTTACGCAGCACGTTTGAGCTTCTACAAGAACCAATGAGGTTCATTCTCGTGTTACGCAGCACGTTTGAGCTTCTACAAGAACCAATGAGGTTCATTCTCATGTTACGCAGCACGTTTGAGCTTCTACAAGAACCAATGAGGTTCATTCTCATGTTACGCAGCACGTTTGAGCTTCTGCAAGAACCAATGAGGTTCATTCTCGTGATATGCAGCACGTTTGAGCTTCTGCAAGAACCAATGAGGTTCATTCTCGTGTTACGCAGCACGTTTGAGCTTCTACAAGAACCAATGAGGTTCATTCTCGTGTTACGCAGCACGTTTGAGCTTCAGCAAGAACCAATGAGGTTCATTCTCGTGTTACGCAGCACGTTTGAGCTTCTACAAGAACCAATGAGGTTCATTCTCGTGTTACGCAGCACGTTTGAGCTTCTACAAGAACCAATGAGGTTCATTCTCATGTTACGCAGCACGTTTGAGCTTCTACAAGAACCAATGAGGTTCATTCTCATGTTACGCAGCACGTTTGAGCTTCTGCAAGAACCAATGAGGTTCATTCTTGTGTTACACAGCACGTTTGAGCTTCTACAAGAACCAATGAGGTTCATTCTCATGTTACGCAGCACGTTTGAGCTTCTACAAGAACCAAAGAGGTTCATTCTCATGTTACACAGCACGTTTGAGCTTCTACAAGAACCAATGAGGTTCATTCTCATGTTACGCAGCACGTTTGAGCTTCTGCAAGAACCAATGAGGTTCATTCTCGTGTTACACAGCACATTTGAGCTTCTACAAGAACCAATGAGGTTCATTCTCGTGTTACACAGCACGTTTGAGCTTCTACAAGAACCAATGAGGTTCATTCTCGTGTTACACAGCACGTTTGAGCTTCTACAAGAACCAATGAGGTTCATTCTCGTGTTACACAGCACGTTTGAGCTTCTACAAGAACCAATGAGGTTCATTCTCGTGTTACACAGCACGTTTGAGCTTCTACAAGAACCAATGAGGTACATTCTCATGTTACGCAGCACGTTTGAGCTTCTGCAAGAACCAATGAGGTTCATTCTCGTGTTACACAGCACGTTTGAGCTTCTACAAGAACCAATGAGGTTCATTCTCATGTTACGCAGCACGTTTGAGCTTCAGCAAGAACCAATGAGGTTCATTCTCATGTTACGCAGCACGTTTGAGCTTCTGCAAGAACCAATGAGGTTCATTCTCGTGTTACACAGCACGTTTGAGCTTCTACAAGAACCAATGAGGTTCATTCTCATGTTACGCAGCACGTTTGAGCTTCAGCAAGAACCAATGAGGTTCATTCTCATGTTACGCAGCACGTTTGAGCTTCTACAAGAACCAATGAGGTTCATTCTCATGTTACGCAGCAAGTTTGAGCTTCAGCAAGAACCAATGAGGTTCATTCTCATGTTACGCAGCACGTTTGAGCTTCTACAAGAACCAATGAGGTTCATTCTCATGTTACGCAGCACGTTTGAGCTTCTACAAGAACCAATGAGGTTCATTCTCATGTTACGCAGCACGTTTGAGCTTCTGCAAGAACCAATGAGGTTCATTCTCGTGTTACACAGCACGTTTGAGCTTCTACAAGAACCAATGAGGTTCATTCTCGTGTTACACAGCACGTTTGAGCTTCTACAAGAACCAATGAGGTTCATTCTCGTGTTACACAGCACGTTTGAGCTTCTGCAAGAACCAATGAGGTTCATTCTCGTGTTACGCAGCACGTTTGAGCTTCTACAAGAACCAATGAGGTTCATTCTCGTGTTACGCAGCACGTTTGAGCTTCTACAAGAACCAATGAGGTTCATTCTCGTGTTACACAGCACGTTTGAGCTTCTACAAGAACCAATGAGGTTCATTCTTGTGTTACGCAGCACGTTTGAGCTTCTGCAAGAACCAATGAGATTAATTCTCATGTTACGCATTACGTTTGAGCTTCTGCAAGAACCAATGAGGTTCATTCTCGTGTTACGCAGCACGTTTGAGCTTCTACAAGAACCAATGAGGTTCATTCTCGTGTTACACAGCACGTTTGAGCTTCTGCAAGAACCAATGAGGTTCATTCTCGTGTTACGCAGCACGTTTGAGCTTCTACAAGAACCAATGAGGTTCATTCTCGTGTTACGCAGCACGTTTGAGCTTCTGCAAGAACCAATGAGGTTCATTCTTGTGTTACGCAGCACGTTTGAGCTTCTACAAGAACCAATGAGGTTCATTCTCGTGTTACGCAACACGTTTGAGCTTCTGCAAGAACCAATGAGGTTCATTCTCATGTTACGCATTACGTTTGAGCTTCTGCAAGAACCAATGAGGTTCATTCTCGTGTTACGCATCACGTTTGAGCTTCTGCAAGAACCAATGAGGTTCATTCTCATGTTACGCATTACGTTTGAGCTTCTGCAAGAACCAATGAGGTTCATTCTCGTGTTACGCATCACGTTTGAGCTTCTGCAAGAACCAATGAGGTTCATTCTCATGTTACGCAGCACGTTTGAGCTTCAGCAAGAACCAATGAGGTTCATTCTCGTGTTACGCAGCACGTTTGAGCTTCTACAAGAACCAATGAGGTTCATTCTCATGTTACGCAGCAAGTTTGAGCTTCAGCAAGAACCAATGAGGTTCATTCTCATGTTACGCAGCACGTTTGAGCTTCTACAAGAACCAATGAGGTTCATTCTCATGTTACGCAGCACGTTTGAGCTTCTACAAGAACCAATGAGGTTCATTCTCATGTTACGCAGCACGTTTGAGCTTCTGCAAGAACCAATGAGGTTCATTCTCGTGTTACACAGCACGTTTGAGCTTCTACAAGAACCAATGAGGTTCATTCTCGTGTTACACAGCACGTTTGAGCTTCTACAAGAACCAATGAGGTTCATTCTCGTGTTACACAGCACGTTTGAGCTTCTGCAAGAACCAATGAGGTTCATTCTCGTGTTACGCAGCACGTTTGAGCTTCTACAAGAACCAATGAGGTTCATTCTCGTGTTACGCAGCACGTTTGAGCTTCTACAAGAACCAATGAGGTTTATTCTCATGTTACGCAGCACGTTTGAGCTTCTGCAAGAACCAATGAGGTTCATTCTTGTGTTACGCAGCACGTTTGAGCTTCTGCAAGAACCAATGAGATTAATTCTCATGTTACGCATTACGTTTGAGCTTCTGCAAGAACCAATGAGGTTCATTCTCGTGTTACACAGCACGTTTGAGCTTCTACAAGAACCAATGAGGTTCATTC